GGTGCTCACAAGTTCAAGTTAATCCTAGAAACTACTTGTATAATATAGCAAATTTCTTTTTTTTTCTTATAGGTTTTTTTTATTTCTTTCATGGAACAAGGCAATACAAATTTGATGCTAAAACAAAGCGAATTCTGTCTCTCCAGAAAGCTAATAGCTGGTTCAACTGCAGAAAAAAATGAAAAGCTGCATCAGAGTTCATGGGAAAGATGCTTTGTGAGCCCAAGGAAGATGTATTTCTCAAGAGCCATATATTTGTTTTCAGTATTTTATTTAACTTCTAGAAGCACAGATGCACAGAACTATTTATGCTTTGCCCTGCTATTTATACTTTATTCTGCATTTTTATAATTTACAGTATAGTGTTTTATATTATGATATAATTTAGTTTCACAATCAATGGCCAAATAAAGGTCAGATTCCTGGTTGACAGGCCCACCCGAGCCAGTGTGGTAAAGAGGCTCATCCACAGGATGAGTCTGATCCTGGAGTTGAGCTTCATTGATGAATATCTCAAAAGAGAGTCAAGAGACATAAACCTACACCAAAGGGGAAATATCTCCAGAACACACAAACAACTATCCAAGGGATTATTCTTCTTATTCAAAATAAAGCATTTTATATTTGAAATAAATCCATCCTTGTCTTTGCTGCATTATTGCTGTTAGTCTGATGATAAAGTGAAACTTAACAGATTAATTCTCAAGTTTGGAACAATACGAAAAATGTTTATATTGGAAATTAGTATATACAAAACTTTTCAATTTCCATGGATCATGTGTTATAAAGAAGGAGGATAATCTTCACAAATAAAATTTAAAAAAAAGAAGGAGGATACTCAGGAGGCTGAGATCTGAGGATTGCGGTTCAAAACCAGCCCAGGTGGGAAAGTCCATGATACTCTGTCTCCAATTAACCACCAGAAAACCAGAAGTGGTGCTGTGGCTTAAGTGGTTGAGGGCTCGCCTTAAACTGAAGAGCTCAGAGACAGTACCCAGGCCCAGAGTTCAAGCCCCACAACTGACCAAAAAAAAAAAAAAAGAAAGAGAGAAATCTATTATTCTTGTTTCAAAAAGAGTCCAAACTTGTTTTTAGGGACAATAGGATAGAGCTTCCTATATGGATTCATGTTCTCTGCTGAGCAGGTAGGAACATTTCCCTAAAGTCCAGTGCTTCCACAGTACAGAAAGAGGAGACTGGCAGACAGTGGGCATCTAACTACTTCTGGCAGAAGGAGAAAGAAGGGCAGGGAAGGGATTGGGGAGGAGTGTTTGTGTGTTACAGAACTGAGAAAAGAGGAGTACTCATATTTTGCAAGGACAAAATGGCTACTAGATCTAAGCTGTATACTCTGGTTTCTCTTCAGATCGTTTAAATCTTTCGCCTTTTACTAGATCTAAACTGTCACTGATATGAGTGATCTTGAATGACATTATGATTTTACAGTCTGAGAAGCTTAAAAAGATAGGTGATAAATAGGGTTCTGACTCACAATCATCTAACAGTGACATCCTGTGCTTATTCCCTTGATCAGATTTGATAAATAGGGTTCTGACTCACAATCATCTAACGGTGACATCCTGTGCTTATTCCCTTGATCAGATTTGAACAAATCCCAATTGTTCCCTATTTCATACAGGGAGGACCAAGGAAAAGCCCTTGAAGGTTCTTTTCCCGTATTTTAGACAGAAGCAGCAAAGCCCCTGAATCCTGGGAGGACTGCACAGACGGCTGTGCTACTGAAGACTTCAAAGCAAAAGGGAGGGGGAAATCCTATGATAATCTTTTCAATTAATCCTTGAAGCAGTTACAAATACAAAACAGATCATAGACCTCTGTAAACTTTGCTAAAGGGGCTGGGAAGGTGGCTCAGTGATAGAGCGCTTGCCTTGCATGCCTGAGGCCCTGGGTTTGATTCTTCAGCACCACATAAGCAAAAAGAAAAAAAGCCGGAAGTGGCGCTGTGGCTCAGGTGGTAGAGCACTAGCCTTGAGCTGAAGAGCTGAGGGATAGTGCCCAGGCCCAGAGTTCAGGCCCCACGACCGGACCCAAAAAAAAAAACAAAACAAAAAACTTAGCTAAATGGGTAACTACTATAACAGATATGCTTTTCTTAAGGAACTTCATAGAGTGATATTAGAAGAGTATTTAGAGATTTCCTTTATTATCTAAGTCCACAAGTGCACTTCAGCTGATAGTTTTTCCATAGCATGAATTAGTAAATTAGTATTAAAAATGTCTTCTCTCATATGTGGAGGTTATATATATGTGTGTGTGTGTGTGTGTGTGTGTGTGTGTGTGTGTGTGTGTGTGTGTGTGTATACATATATATATATATTTGAATGTGATAAATATACAGGACTCTAGGCATTCACACACAGTCAGACTAAAGGAAGATAACCTTAGGGGAAGAACATTAAAAATATTATTTATTGAAACAAACTCCAGGAAATGAAAAAAAAAGTATGTAAGGGGTAAACTTCTCACTTTAATCTGAGTTTGTGGTATAGAAAAATAACCCTGATCTGGAATAAAATCAGCATTTCCAGTGAAAGGAGAAATAAAATCAGCACTTCCAGTGAAAGGAGAAGTTGCAAAATACTTGTCCGTGTCATGTTGACATGGGGCCTTGTGTGCATATGGACTGTCTTTAAGTCAGAGGCCACAGGGTGTTAAAGATGAGTATCCAAGAACTGGTTCAACCTGCTACATAGCCCTAAGTCTAGATACAGATTGTATGGAACACACTGTAAACAGACTGCGAATTCCTGTTTGGACCTCATCTGTGCAGCATAAGACAAGAAGAGTGGCAGGTGCCAACATGGCTAGACAGAACCCAAAAGAATCAGATAGATTAGCAAGAAGATCAGTTAGAAGGACAGAACAACAACAAAAAAGCAACAATTTATTAAAGGTAAGTTCAGTGTGTCAAAAATGGGAGAAATACAAATAATGTTAGAACCTAAAAGAAAAATGTTGGGCAAGAGCCATGGTCAAAGCCAGGAGATTTCGCTAGCACTTCTGAGCAATCTTCTACCACTGGTTCATGAGCAAACCTTGGGGTTTTTCTGTGTCTAATCTCAACCTCTTTGAGTTGTCTTATACATTAGAAATAGCATACATTTAGAACATGCCATACAAGAGATCTATGGCATACAACAGCAGATCTTTACATATGGGCCTCTCCTTTCCTTAAAATTGAATTATACAGGTCAGCTTGCCCAATTTACTATAGTAAATTTAATAAGAATTTATTTAAACACAACCAAGACCCCAGTGATTAATTTCTCCCAGGTCTAATGGTTTCATGAGGACAAGCTCACACAGTGTATCACTCCTGTGAGGCGTGTGGTTTGATGTTTAGCCAATTGCAGTCATAAACATAGCTCTCATTACTACAGAATACATTCCATCAACAGGATGTGCCAACACCAATAAAGGTATGATTCAGATGAATACGAAGCATCTCAGAACGTGTCCAGTCAATGCCTAAGGGCACTATTATGGACTTATTCATCTTGCTGATAAAGAATTTGGAGCCCAATGAAAGGCAAGAGGCTTCTCAGCATAAGCATTTACAACAATGCTTATCAAATTCTCAAGGATGAAAAAAACAGTGTACACACGTACGTATATACACACACACACACACAAATACACACACATACTTCCTCCGCTCCAAGGCCCCTCCCCTCTGATTTTCAAGCAGACAGCCAGGCCATTCTACCATGGAGCAAACTCCTCAGTACATTAAACTACAGTTGACTTGCTGGCCCAAGAAGAACCCTAACTCTGGCTTGTAAGCTTCAGAGCCTCCTAGTTTCTGGACATCCTTACCTGTCCAGTCTACCTCTACTCAAGTGGTGGATGACACTGGAAAGATCATCTAAGCATTCATTAATTTCCCATACTTGGCAATGCTTTATATATGATTTGAAAAACAACTTATTCATCTTTATTGGAAGAAAAGTGTATGTCTCTTCTGCCAGAATTTCAGGGTCACTTATGTCAATAGTCTAATCTGACAGAACCGTTATCATACTTGATGTGTTACAGTGTGAACTCTACCCCTCAGCCCTGTTTTTGGCTGAAGAAAGGAAAGGGTGAAGGAAGAAAAAGAAGAAATGGAAGTCATTCCTCACTATATATCACAGTTCAACTCTTCCTTTGTACTATGTGAGGAAAAAGAAAGGACGAAACTAGCTTTGAAAAACAGAGAAGAATATGAAGATAGAAGGGCCATCTTAGTTCAGATGTCATTTATTTTAACTTAAGTTTTAAGGGAGCACGATGACCATGTCAGCCATTCTAAAGTACAGGATGTGTGAACACCACAGTTGTCTCTTTTGAATCTTTCCTTGAATCTTCCTGGTGCTGTTCATGCCCTTTTCCCTCTCAAAATATTCCTACTCCAGGGCTGAAAATCAGAAATACCTGTTGTAAATGAAGACCCACAAAATGAAGTCTGAGCAAGGAGACAGACACTTCCTTGATAGCAATCCCCACATTAGACCATGGTTATATTTGGAAATTGTATCCGTTCATCTATTCATTCCTGACCTTTTCATATTTGAGTTCATAATGCAGTGTTTTTAAAGAAAACTGCACTGCTTTAAAAATGTTTAGACATTTGGTGTTTCTCCAGTCATTTCGATGATCTCCTAGTAAATAAACAAATATGAAGCATCCAACCAGTTCTTTTTCCTCTTTGCAAACACAGAAACCACTTCCTGGAGATTAGTTGTTGAGTCAAGTTTAGTAGGTTGAGGGGAATTACTGATGCAGGCTATATCATCTTCATATTGAATTTTTGTGAATATGCTTGTCGTCATTCTGATTTAAAATAAAACAACATATCTGTGAATCATGCTGTTGGTGATCTAAACATTGTTTCTCTATAAAAGGGTGGCCACTAGAAGGTAGAGAAAGAAGCCAGTAGATAGAAAAAGGATTTTCTTAAGGCAAAAGCAGTCAGAATGAAGAATGCAGAGTGCTTCAGAATGAAGTACCTAGCCATCCTCATGCTGCTGGGTCTACCCCTCTGCACAGCGCATCCCCTGCATGGGGCAGTGAAAGAAGAGGAGCAGAAGACCATGGAGCTTGCTCAGGTATTTAATGGAAGCATCCACTGTAGCCATATGGATGGTCCATGAGAAGGACCAAGTGTGTATACTTGGTTCTCCAACACAAAACAGAATCACTTGGTTGGGAGTTAGTGTTGGAACTGTTCGTTTAGCAGTAGAGATTGCTAAAGTGCTAGAGGTGGAAATGCCCTTCATTTAACAGAGAAAGAAAGGCATAGGAAGTGGAGGCCATCTCTCAGGGTTAGAATAAAACAATGACGGCGGCCTTGAGGATAAGTGAAAAGAACAAAAACAAAACAGATGAAGCCTCCCATGTCAGATCTACTTCGATAGCTCTAAATTGATGACAAAAAAATACTAGTTTTGATCCTCAAAAAAAAATCAGTAAATGCTATTTATATTATTATTTGCTATGTGGGGACAAAAAAATTAATCTCACTGCAGTCTTGAAGCAGATCTATATTAGTAATGGAAAAAGTTAGATTATATTTATCCAAAAAAGTATTTACATATTATCAATTTATTTAATTAACTAATAAGTTAATTGCAATGAAACTGTAAAATAAAACATCTTAGTGACAGATCAGATTGTTATATCTACTTTCATTTCAATAAACTGTGTAATAACTAAAATAGTTTTGGAAATTTGGGAAAATGGATAATAATAACTTTTAATTATTATTCCATTAGCACTATCTAGAAAGCTACTACAATTTTGGAAAAGAAGAAAAACAAATTTTTAGAAGAAAGGACAGTAGTCCTGTTGTTAAAAAAATCCAAGAAATGCAGAAGTTCCTGGGGCTGGAGGTGACAGGGAAGCTGGACTCCGACACGATGAGGATGATGGGCAGGCCCAGGTGTGGCGTTCCCGACGTTGGTCACTTCACCACCTTTCCTGACACACCAAAGTGGCAGAAAAACCACCTCACCTACAGGTAATGGGGCCAAGGTTTTCCCAGAAGACTGTAACTTCATCATCTGTGCCACAGGAACCAATGCCACCTTTCTCGATTTTTCTCATCCAGGATTGTGAATTACACGCCAGATTTGCCAAGACAAGTGGTGGATTCTGCCATTGAGAAAGCTCTGAGAGTCTGGGCGGAGGTGACTCCACTCACATTCTTCAGGATGTATGCGGGAGAGGCTGACATCATGATATCCTTCGCCGTTAGAGGTAACCATTTATCTTGTGGCTTGGACAGTTTGAGCTCCTAAGCAAAATTCCTTAGATTGAGGAATTCAGAAGAACAGAAATCCATTGCTCAGAGTTCCTTTGGCTGAGAAATCCAACATCGAGCTGCAGCAGATCTGGTGTCTGGTGAATGAGTCTTCTTCATAGGTGGCATTTGCTGTGGCTTCAATGGCACAAACAGCAAGGTGGCTTTGTCCAGCCTCTCTCATGACTCACTAATGCCATCACGAAGCCCTCATGGATACTATTTGTATTTGAGCTACTCCTAAAGGCTCCATCTTTTAATTCCATTGCATTAGAGGTTAAGCTTCAACATGAGGAACTGGAAGAGCCACCAACTTTCAGATTAGTGTGTTTGCTACTCTCCAACTGAAATAACTAAGAAGATATCCCTTATTTCATTCTTCCACTAGAGCATGGAGATTTTTACCCTTTTGATGGACCAGGAAATAGTTTGGCTCATGCCTATCCACCTGGGCCTGGGTTTTATGGAGACGTTCACTTTGACGAGGATGAAAAATGGACAGAGAATGCATCAGGTGAGTCACAGACCTTGACGACAAGTTTAGAAATCACGTCTAATGCTCCAAGAATTATTTAGTTATCCAGAATGGGCCATAAATGGCATATCCTAACAGCTGAAATTTCTGATTAGTTATGTGGTAACCAGAAGTACTAATCATTACTAAAGAACTTTTTCACAAGTCTATTTTCTTCTTCCTCCTCTCCTTACCAAATACAATGCAGTAAGGAGCATGCAATCTTATTTCCACAACTTAGGATCTTGTGGAGATTTTAGACCTTCTGTAATGAATAATCCTTTTCATCACTTAAATAATAAGTGATAGGTATAAAATGAATTCCACAGGATAATTTTAGACCCCAAACTATGCCCTTGGTATTTTCACTTCCTTCTCATTTGCCTCCTTTGTTCTTAAAAGTAAAGATCAAGAGAAAACATCAAGAAAGTAAAAAATTCTAAGACATCTGCTTAAATAAGCACAGCACTGTGGCTAGCCAGGGAGCTTAGTTGTTGTGAGTGTGTGTGTGTGTCTGGGCCTGGGGTCTGTCCCTCAGCTCTTCAGCTCAAGGCTAGCACTCTACCACTTGAGCCACAGCGCCACTTCTGGCATTTTTTCTTTTTGCTTATGTGGTGCTGAGGAATCGAACTCAGGGCCTCAGGCATGCAAAGCAAGCACTCTTCCACTGAGCCACATTCCCAGCCCCAGTTGTTGTGTTTTCTAAATTGGTTCCAAAAGACTGCTGAGTCTAAACGCAATGGCTGATGTTAACTGCATGCTATTTGTCTTATCAACTGGCTTCTGAAGTATGGAAATAGAATATTTGGCAATTGTGGTTTCTGAAGTTGATTAGGATCCATAGTACAAATGGGGCAAGCACCTTTACTGAATGTACTGACCTCGAGTTTTTGGTGCATGAAATGATCTAGTTTTATTTCAACAGCTATTCTTTTCTCATAATTTCTTGGTTCAATAATTTCTACTGCTAATAAGGATCTTATAATATAGAGAACAGCTGATTTCCAGCTGTGTTTGTGCTGTAGAAGACTGTTATTAAATTGCTTTAAACTGAAGATTGTACAAACCAAATGACATTTATTACTGGGAAGTTTTGACAATGTAAGTTACAAATGACAAAGAGGAAAAAAATGACAAAGAGGAAGAAAAATCTCCCTGTGGGAAATAACCTTCGTTTTGTTGCTTAAGAGTTTAAAGAATGCATACATACTCTGTGATTCATTAATGCTGAAATTGAAACTGGTATATATTACTAAACTTGAACAATGACTTTCCTTTCATTTTGGGACCATAAAGAGTAATATTTACTGACAGAGTATTATTCTTGGTCCTGCCAAAGAAATACCTTCAAGAAGCAATGCTTATCATTGTCCACATAGGAACCCAGTTTTCTTGAACAAGGAGACAACTAGGGAAGTATAAAGTGGAAAAGTGTCTGATGAACTGACTACAAGTCAACCTTGGAAAGCACATGATTCTTTTTTTTTTTTTTTTTGGCGGTCATGGGCCTCGAACTCTAGGCCTGAGCGCTGTCCCTCAGCTCTTCAGCTCAAGGCTAGTGCTCTACCACTTGAGCTACAGCACCACTTCCGGTTTTCTGGTGGTTTATTGGAGATAAGAGTTTCACGGAGTTTCCTGCCAGAGCTGGCTTTGAATTGCGATCCTCAGATCTCAGCCTCCTGAGTAGCTAGGATGACAGGCATGAGTCACTGGCGCCAGCTAAGCATATGAGTTCTTGTACATGATAATCAATGAACTCACAGATAAGAGAAAAGACACTGAGGCTATCCTTTGGGCTGGCATGTGTTCTATATGCATTTTACAGCACAAACAGCTATTAGACTCTGAACATTTATGGTTTCCAAATAGGGACCAATTTATTCCTGGTTGCTGCTCATGAACTTGGCCACTCCCTGGGCCTCTTTCACTCAGCCAACCGTGAAGCTTTGATGTTCCCTGTCTACCAGTCCTTCAAGGACCTGGCCCAGTTCCACCTTTCTCAAGATGATATCGCTGGCATCCAGTCTCTCTATGGTGAGTGAGGACAAAACCAAAGCCTATTCTTTTCCCGTGTTCTTTCTTTTTCAATGTTGTATGATGCTCATCACCCCCAAAACCTCGAGAATGTTTGGAAAGTGTGGAAATTGACATTCCTCCTGATCTGTGCCTCTCCCCATCTGAACCCTCCAGGGCCTCCTCCTCCTCCCTCCCCGACAGCCCCTGTGGTACCCACAGAATACATGCCTCCAAGACACAGAACACCAGCCAAGTGCGATCCTGCTCTGTCCTTCGATGCTGTCAGCACCCTAAGAGGAGAACTCCTGTTCTTTAAAGACAGGTAGGACTAGAAAACCTAAAAGTTGGATTCAGGGTTGCTAGGTGACATGGTAGGGTTTAGGCTGGAATCCCACAGCTCCGAAGGCACAGACCCATCCAACACACCTTCTGTCACTCTAAGCCTCTTGCTGCCTTGTTCTACCTGTCCTGCAGGAGCTACTCCTTTCCATTTCCTTTCATTTCCTTTCCATTTCTCCCATTCAGCCCTGCTTTGTCAAATGAATCTTTGCTGACTCTCAAAATGAATACTTGCAAACCTATAGAAGCAGAGTAGGATCTTTATTTTCACTAAAGAGTATTAGTTCAATAAGTTATTTTTAGAAAAAGTGGCATATGTGCTTATGCACAATATTCCAGTAGTACAAAAAGATATAGAGCTGAAAGAAAAATCCTGTACCTGATCTATCAATTCCCTTTTCCCTTTGCTATGTCACTGCTACTACCCATTTCCTTTGTCTCTGCCCAGAAGTGTTAGTCAGACACCAACACAAGACGTACATAATATTATGATACTGAAAGTAGTCAATAATTCTGCCACAGAATGACATGTGAGGCAGACCTGACAGGGTGCACTGACATTGACTAAAAGGAGGCTATGCTCCTTTTCTCATATAACTATGTCTACATATACTTAAAGAGGAAAGACATTGGCAAATGATTTCTATGTGTTACAGATTCTTTTGGCGCAGACCCCGCTGGAGTCTCCAACCTCAGCGTCACTTGATTTCTGCATTTTGGCCCTCTCTTCCATCAGAGTTGGATGCAGCCTATGAAGTTATCAGCAAGGATACTGTTTTTATTTTTAAAGGTAAGTAGTTGGAAGTGGCACTTTGGCTCAAAGTGGTAGTATGCTAGCCTTGAGCATAAAAGAGCTCAGGAACAGAGCCCAGGCCTTGAGTTCAAGCCCCACAACTGACAAAAAATAAAGGTAAGTACTATATGAGAATTTTTACTTATTAAAATAAAACCTACAATGAAACTCCCTTTGCATAATTAATATATGCCAAAAATCTTACTGCAAAATCTTATTGCAAAAATTTCATAAGCATGAATTTTTCCCTATTATATTAAATTTTAGATGATTTTTTTACTGCAAGACTTGATGTTAATACTTTAATAACATATATAAAGAACATTATACTTGTATTTTTAAACATTCAATGAGTGCCCTGAAAAAATAGATGAAATCCTATATTCATGGATAAAAATTTTACAGTTAAAAATGTCAATTTATCTATGGATGTGACAGTGCTCATTCAAAGGACAAAAGATTTTTTTATGGAATAAAATCCTGGTTTTTATCCCAGTACCCAATAAACAAAGTAGAGATGACCAACAAGGCCAAAAGTCAGCTGTCTAATAAGACTAGAAAAATTATTGAATATCTTATAAAGCTGATGAAGAAAAAGAAAGGTGAAATGATTCAATATTAGCAAAGAAAATGAGATATCAATAACTAGATAAAATAAGGATCTGAAAGCTTGGTACCAATTGATTTTAGACAAAATCAGCAAATTCCTGCAAAAACTGGGTGAAACAAAGTGACTCAAGAAGCAATAGAAATTCAAATAGCATTTTATCAATAGACAAACTGAAAGAGTAATTTAGAAATCTGAGGAGCTACTGGGCCTGGATAGTTCCATTCGTCAATTTGTCTGTCCTTGCCCTGGTACTGCACTATCTCACATAGTAAAGCTTCCTAACACAGAGGTGATCTTCTCATCATTCTATTTTTCAGGAATATTCTGGCTATTTCTTGGTCTTTACCCTCCCACATGAATTACAGAACTAACTCTCTGAAAAGAGTCTTGGAAGACATGGTGTTAAGACTTGAAGGAGGGAGCTTTGCTGTGTGAACCTTTGTGTTTAGATGAGCTTTCAATTTAGAAGTCTTAAACACAGAAGGGTTTTGCAAAAGCAGGGCACATGGAGCTGCTGGAACAGGCAGAAGGCATTCAGATCAGATGAAGCAAGACACATAGATAGCAGGTGAATAATTCAGACTGGTGAGCAAATCAAAGGTAGAGAGATCAACAGATTCACTTGAATTTAGGTGGATGCTGTAGTGCTCAGAAGCACAGATTGCACATGGTGGTTGTGAGGTATCTCGGATGAAATGTCCATAAAGTGATTAATTCACTCATGTAGATCAGCTCAGAAGGGAAGTCAAGGTTAGAAATTTAAATCAAGAACCAGTCACTGTCATTTATAAATAATATACAGGAAGGCAATGAACCATAGTTACATAATAATTTTTTATTTGAATGAATGAATATTCATTCATTCATGTACTCAGGAAATATTTATTAAATACCAGCCAAAAACTAAATATTGGGATTGGAACTAAAACCAAGATCTTTTTAATTCAACAATGCACAATTACCATTTATAAGTTACCATTGTGCCTCCAGTCATATTTTCTTGTTTTTAATAGGAAATAAGTTCTGGGCAGTGAGAGGAACTGATATACAAGCAGATTACCCGAAAGACATCCACACCCTGGGATTTCCTCCAACCATAAAGAAAATTGATGCAGCAGTTTCTGATAAAGAAAAGGAAAAAACATACTTCTTTGTAAAAGATGAATACTGGAGGTGAGATACAAGAGGAATGGCTTTGTCCACCCCTTCTAAGTTTCTTTGATTTGAACCTTTTGATTATGAGGAAGATAATTTAGTTATTCAGCTTTTCAAATGTAAAGGGTTTTAGAATGTGGACCAGTGGGTTATGTGAATCAGAGCCCAAGAGAGATCAAGAAGCCAACTGCTGTTCTCAGGGCATCTACTGCTCATCCCACTGCCAGAAGTGTTGAACTACATCTCTTTCACTGTGCAGATTTGATGAAAAGAGTCAATCCATGGAGCGAGGCTTCCCCAGACGAATAGCTGATGGCTTTCCGGGAGTTGGGCCCAAGGTCGATGCTGTATTACAGGCATTTGGTAAGAGGGCCACCATGTCATTAATTGACAGCACGTGCACTACAAGTATTTCATGCTATCAAAATGAAGTGTGGTCTCTTTTGGACTGCTTCAGCTTCTTGCCTACTGTTGAAAATGCTGCTATAAATATCTGTATACAAATCTTTGGATGATATTTAGTAAAAATGATCAAGCCATACGCTTAAAATTGGCAGCGTTTATGCTATGCAAATGTACCTCCACAAAGTCACTTAAATGTCAGAAAAATGAAGAATCAAAAGTTTTCAAATCATTCAGTCTTATGTCCCTGAAAATTTTAACTTTCTAATATATGAACACTGGGTTTAGATTTTATTTGACTATTGTTCAAGTTTGTTTCAAACCTGCACACAAAATCAAAGGTCCATCCTCACATAGAAGCCATTACCTTTCAGGTCAGATGTCTGTATAAAAGTACAATCAAGTGTGTGTCAGGTTTACTGGTGGCTGGATTTTATTCTCAAGCCCATCCAGTTTTCCCTTTCCTCCTATCCCTCCCGAGAAACCTTGTGTGGGTTTCTTTAGCCCACAGTTGTTTACAATAGTCAGTTGTAGATAAATAGCAGCCTTCCCACACGCTCAAATAGCCAAATCTGATTCTGGTATTGGGTATCTGGGAAAACAAAATTTATTCTTTGCTTATTCTGAGGAGATTCTGGAGGGCTTCACAATTATAATGCTAATAAGGCCAATGACCTTGGTAATAAAACAATTTGATCATCAAGTACACAAAGCAGGGAAGGAACTTCTTCCCATGTCCCTGGATGGAATTACCTCCCAAGTGCTTTAGGATGTAGCTGGCGGAGGAGAGGTTGGAAAGAACATGGGCTGAGGGATAACTAAGATATTAATATACCACTCAACTCCATCTACTTACAGGAAGTATCTACTGTTTTGGAGCACTGGCTTTGGAGTAAAACAGATGAAATGGAATACTCCATCCATTTTTCTTTGGAAATGTTATCTTGGAAAACCATAAAACCTTCCTAATTTTCAGCTTAGCCTCATTAATAATACCTCACACCTTTTTATGCATCAATGTAACACTTTGAACACAGTGCCTATCTCAGAGAATACTTAATATAATCACGCAATCCATGATTTGCTTGTTCCTATTCTAAGCTATATAATTCACACGGCTGATTTACTTGGAGGATGACTTTTTTTTTTCATTTCTGTTCACAGGGTTTTTCTATTTCTTCAATGGATCATCACAGTTTGAGTTTGACGCTAATGCCAGGAGGGTGACACATATACTGAAGAGTAACAGCTGGTTGCTCTGTTGAGATAAGGAGAAGACAAACATGGATATTTTCAACAAATCTAATTTATTGTGAGTCAAGATGGCTGATTATTCCTGCATCTACTGTGGCCAGCGCAGCTGGCAGACATCTTCACGTGTCATGGAGCCTTGTCTGGCCAGCTCTGCTTGTTCCTGCATTACATCACACAAAATGTGCAGTGAGTGAGCGGGTGTTCTATCCACGGGTGTTTTATTATTTATAAGTTAATAAAATATTGATACTTAAAATCTTCAGTTTTGGCCTGCCCCTTGCTTTCAGTGGGGTCTTCATCATTTGTAGTTAATACAGTGAACTGGAGTGCCTCCCTGGCTTACTGACTTCTTCCTAGACTTCAGGATTCTGCTCAAAGGCTAACTTCTCAGATCTGCCTTGTCCTCACTCTGTTCAATATCCTGCTCAAACACTTTTTCCCAGGATGCATATCATATTTTATCACAACTATTGGTTCTAAATGTACCTCTCTCTAAACTACAACTTCCTCGAGTTATTGGCTACTCTTAATGACAAAATACTCAGCATAAAGTAGATGCTCAACAAATGATTGCTGAATGAACAGAAAAATAAGTCTAGGGAAGATGTAATATTTAACGAATAAAGGCTGAGTAGGAGTTGCCTGGTCATAGACTGGAAAGCAAGAAAATTCTAAGTGATTACATGAGCTATGACTCAGAGGTACTAAATACTGCATGTTATGTTTGAGAAATGGGGAGATGTTTAGTGCAGTCAAGGAAAGGGTAGGCAATTTTCTCTTCCAAGAGAAAAATTATCAGATAAAAATATACAATTATATAATGAAAAAAGCCTTTAGTAATAATGGACACTGGTGGTTCATGCCTATAACTTAGCTACTTAAGAAGCTGAGATCCAGAGGATTGTACTTTGAAACCAAGCTAAGCAGAAAAGTCCAAAAGACTCCCTCTTAAAAAGTAATCAGCAAAAGGCTATGTTGGAAGTATGGCTCAAATGATAAAGCACCAGTCAAGCAAGGATGAGGCCCTGAGTGGGAAGGGATGGGAAGGAAAGGGGAGGGAAAAGGTGGGGAGGATCTTAATGACAGCTAAGTAGACGTGAAATAACACTAAAAATATATGATCCTAGAGGAAGCCGGTAGACTTGAGTAAGTCAAAATTAAAGAGCTTCATAAAATGAGGGACATCAAAAACAAAAACAAAAAAACAAGCAGCAGAGAACATGCAGGCAGCCTATAAAACTCACTGACTGAATACCTGGATGCACTGGGGGTGCCCTCTACTGGTATGCCATGGACAGGACATGGCCATGACCACCCCAGGATTTGCTCTCCTCCATGCCAGCCCACTCTGGATCATCCAAAAGATTCCTCTAGGCACACACTGTAATCCTGATACTCTTTAGATTCTGGGATCAGGACACAGATTGTTTCTTAACAGAGGCATTAAAATGTTCACACTGGACATTTTAGAGGAGGCAAGCAAATTGGTGGGAAGAAGGATTAGGAAACTTCATGCTTACTCTTCATACTTCTATTTGAAATTTTAATTTTTGATAAATTAGCATATTTACGTTGTATTAAAAGATTCCTTAGAGTAAAGGACTTTGAAAGAAAACTAAGAGAGTGATGCAGACCTATAATCGCAGCACTCAGGAGACAGAGGCAGGAAGATCACAAGTTGAGGCCAGCCTGTACTACATAGTGAAACTTGGTCTCAAGGGGGAAAATCGAATAAAGAAAAAACTTCACATCAAAGACATGAAAGGAATTTGGTCGACACCTCATAGTTAACATACTGGTTTTCACTCCTTCCCTCATCACAGCCGGTGGGATCCCAGCATGTGTTTGCTTGTCCTGTTGCCAGACCTCTGTACTTTCACCTGGTATTTTGTGCTTAGTGCCTGGGTGTGTGCTGGGCACCCTGTGCATATTCTCACTTCACGGTCACAACACACCGGTGACATAGTGTCTACATCACTATCACCTTACACCTGAGAAAACTGAGCTCCTCAGCAGCCACTGGCCAACAGGGATGAGAAGTTGAAATTAAGAAACAGAGAGAATAAGAAAATCGTTCAAGTTCAAATAATGCTAAAGACTGTAGGCCCATCCGAGCCATGCCTCCAGCCCCTGGGGATGGTTTTTAATACAATGCAAAGCCACATCCTCTAGAAACATCCCTCCACTCGTTCAAGACATGCGCGCACACACACACACACACACACACTCACACACACATGCACTCCCACTCTCACACTTATATATTCACACGCACAGCCTGCTTAGTGACGGCACGCACATTCTCTCCTCCTGGACAGCAGGTAGGTAAGGACAGATTTTGCAGTTGGACCCCTCCATCCCCATACCCCTACCAGTCATCTAATAACATAACTAAACTAAAATATCACCAAAAAAATGTAAACCTAGTACTTTGGGATCATCTCTTTTTTTCCCTCTCCTTGACCAGACAATTTTGTAAAAGTAGATCTAACTGTGAAAAGCAAAATATAGAAAATCACACTTTTTCTGCTGACGGACTCCTTAAATCCTCCTTAAATCACATTTGAAAACTGCAAAACCACCGGAGGGTGGTTAGCCCCGGTTGCCTCACACTCCTGATGCCGCAACTGCCCACAGCTCTCCAGTGTCTTCATAAGGGACCGAAAGAGAGCAGTGAACAGCCCGGGATGTGAGAGCTCCAAGGTCCCAGCAGCAGAAGGGCTCTACCAGAGGATGCAAGGACGAAGGCCAGCAGAGCCTGTATTTGAAGAGATGGCCATATTCAATCTGAAGACACTTACACTTGTGTTCTTTCTCTACATGCAACTTTCCAAGGCTTTTCCAGTACCTTCTGAGCACCTCGTGGAAAGAAATGCAAAAACTGTTCAGGTAAACTCTCAATTGGATGGGTGATTGATTTGCTCATTATTAGAATATTGTAAGGGCTGCATTTTCGATTTAGTCTAAACAGCCTGGAAGAAATTATCTGGATGAAATTTATGAGGTTAACTTCTTTCAGAGACTTGGAGAATATTAAAGTTGACAAGGTAGAGTCTTAAAAAAAATCTAGACATGAGGGGCTGGGAAGGTGGCTCAGTGGTAGAGCGCTTGCCTTGCATGCCTGAGGCCCTGGGTTCGATTCCTCAGCACCACATAAGCAAAAAGAAGCCGGAAGTGGCGCTGTGGCTCAAGTGGTAGAGCGCTAGCCTTGAGCTGAAGAGCTGAGGGACAGCGCCCAGGCCCAGAGTTCAGGCCCCAAGACCGGGCCCCCCCCCAAAAAAAATCTAGACAGGAACACCAGCTGCCCAATTCAAAACTAGCTAGGAATCCTCTAAGGAGGAATGGTTTTATTTCTAAAAACTAAATGATTTTCTTTCTTTCCTACAACTTTCCCTCCAATATACCTGCAATCCAGTTACTAATGGGGGGACATGTAGCTCAGTGGTAGAGCAGCTACCAAAGATGCATGGTTTGATTCCAGGCACCAATTTTTTTAAGTAAAGATAGCAGTTATGATATGTTACTACATAGAAGTTACTACTTATGCTCTGGTATTAACATTGCTTTGTAGTCAAAGGTGTAGAAGAGAGCATGAGGATGGAGGATTATAGTTAACTAAAAATGAGTACATTGTATTACCTGATTTTCCATCAACAGATTGACTTTATAAGCTCTCAGAAGCGAAACTAATAGTTCAATGTTCAATATCCCCCTTAATAAAATAAAAAGAAGATGCAGAAAAGGAGGAGGAAGTCTCCATACACATTTTGTATGTGTGACTCCATCTTCATCCTCTCTGAGGCGTCCACTTCGTGAATAAATTGCTAGAGCTCTGAATAGAAGGACTCTTTGTCTGTTATTAGTCCTGATATGAACTCTTGGTTAATTCTTGCATAACTTGGAAGAAAGATTGTAAAAATGTCCAAAAAATAGAAAGACATTTCACAGCAAGAATTCTCATGTGCTTTCTTTTTCCAGAATTACCTAGAAAAGTTCTATCAATTACCAAGTCTCCAATATCAGTCTGCAAGGAAAAACAGTACCAGTATGATTGCTGAAAAGCTTAAAGAAATGCAGAGGTTTTTTGGGTTGAATGTGACAGGGAAGCCAAACAAGGAAACTCTGGAGATGATGGAGAAGCCTCGCTGTGGAGTGCCAGATAGTGGCGATTTTATGCTAACCCCAGGAAAACCCAAGTGGAAGCGCACAGATCTGACATACAGGTGATATTCCCAGAGTTCCAGACCGCATACACATGGCCAGTAGTGACCGATACGCCAGGCCCGGGGATACTCCCGGGACAGACAGATAAAAACCCCTTACTCGGCAGAGTATAAATAATGAATGAGTGGTCAATGAAAGATGAATGTGTGTGATGAAGGACAGAGATTCCCATAGGTTCTCTTAACTCAAGTTTGCCATTTCTTTCTTCCCCAACTTCTTCCCCAAGTCTCCTAAACTAAATAGGACTTGGCAATAGGAGATATTTTCTCTCTCTCTTCTCTTCTGTCTTCTCTTCTCTTCTCCCTTCCCTTCCCCTCCCTTCTCTTTTCTCTACTTCCCTCTCTCCCCGCCCATGCTAGGATTGTCGCATACCTCTCTTTAGGTTTTATTATTAATAATGACAATGGGCACTCTATGCAGAACACCCCTCACCCAGCAGCAAACAAAATGCTTTACATTACTTGATAGGAGGGCTCTTCTCTTGCCCTCAGTTCCTGAGTGAGGACCTGATGTTGAAAGACGTGTAGCAACTTATCAAACCGTTGTCTGTCTCAAGCTGGACCCTGCATTCCTGGCTTGTTCTCTACTTGCTCCAGTGTGCGGAGGGAGAGCCATCGCAAACAAGTAACCCTCCATGCCCCTTCTCGTTTGGAAGGATTCTGAATACCGTACAGCTGTCAAAGGCACAGGTGGAAAGAGCTGTTGAGGATGCCTTCCGAGTGTGGAGCAAGGCATCACCCCTCACATTCACCAGGGTCCTCCAGGGGGAAGCCGATATCATGATCGCGTTTGCTCGCAGAGGTAGGCCCACTGCAGACACACAGTTCTGCTTTCCCTGGCTCACCTGACAGCTGGGAGCTCACTACAGGTTGTCTTGTTTCAGATCATGGTGACAATTCTCCATTTGATGGGCCCAATGGGATCCTTGCTCATGCCTTTCAGCCTGGACCAGGAATTGGAGGGGATGCTCATTTTGATGCAGATGAAACATGGACACAGAGCTCCACCAGTAAGCTGCCCAAGGTTATGTCCACATTCCGCTTCAGCATTAGCCTCCCCACCGCACATACACATTCCCACTCCCTATATTGCAATACTGCAAATACTTAAATAGATCATTTAAACTTTTTGCCAGTTTTAAATCAATGTAGAGTTTTTTTTTTATTGCTCTGGTTCCTTAGGCAGTCAGCCCATTCCTGCTGCTATGACCGAAAACCTAAAACTCAGAAATTAACCAAGAAACAATTCCCCCATTGTTTTAGAGCCTGCAAAGTTCAAGGTGCTGGCTTCAGGTGAGGTCCCTTGTGTTTTATTCTCATATACTAGAAGATAAAAGAGGACAAATGAGAACAAACTGGAAACCTCAAGCCCTTTTACAATAGCACTACTCTAAGCACTTCCCAAACAAGCCGCACCTCGAAACACTATTGCTGGAAAGACTAACTTTCTAACACATGGATTTCTTTTTTTTTCTTTTCTTTTCTTTTTTTTTTTTTTTTTTGTCAGTTGTGGGGCCTGAACTCTGGGCCTGGGTGCTGTCCCTGAGCTCTTCAGCTCAAGGCTAGCACTCTACCACTTGAGCCACAGCGCCACTTCCAGATTTTTCTGCTTATGTGGTGTTGTGGAATTGAACTCAGGCCCTCATGCATGTGAGGCAAACACTCTACCACTGAGCCACCTTCCCAGCCCTAACACATGGATTTCTGAGAGAGACGTTCAAACCATAAGAGGCAGGGATCCAAAAGCCCTGGATCATGGTCCACACCTGCCAAGGCTCTGCTTATTTAAGTGCAGGTTGTGGATCGTGTTTATACAGCATCCGGGGCCCTTACACTCCACATGGCAGAGCTGAGTAGCTGCACGGAAGGTATAGGGCTCACAAAATTTGAAGTGCTTTGCCATTGCTTTAAGTCAGGTCTCTTTAAAAACATTCTGAAATTGAATGGGGTTTGAAAAGGCCAATTGATCATAAATAATCAGGATTATCTGGCAAAGGTTCCTAGTTCAGAAAGAGTTGCACGTTCACTTTACAGTTACTTTGTTTCCCAGGAGCTCTTTTCCAGGGATAGATAGCAATCGGCTCCTTCCAGGACAAGCCTGGTGATAAGAATGTCTGGGCTGTCTGGAGGAAACAAGAGCTAGGACTGGCCACATGGTGAGGATAATATGCCAGAAAGCCATTTAAAAAAAAAAAATAAAAGGAAAGGAGCCTTCTACTTCCTCACACAATTTTCTCATCACCAATGTTGTGTCTGTCCCTGACCTAGGAGATATACATGCCCAAAGATAAATAATAATTTCCCGCGACTCTGTGTTCCCATAGCCCCAGGCCCTAGCTCGGGTAGCCATTTCCTCTTGCCTTACTTACTGATACACCTATATGCTTTCTCCCCTGTCTAGTCTCTGCTCTCTAATTATTTTTCCAAGACAAAGCAAGGGTTGTCTTTGGAAAGGCTTTCTGCGTTGTATTGCCGCCTGTTTAAAACTATCAGGGTTTACAGAATCTGTACCAAATTATGTCCAATTCTTTGCCTTCTCATTGAAGGCCCTGAGTGGTTTTTCTACTCTCTTCCTTCTTGCCTGACTTAATGGTTGACATTCTCCAGCTATGCTGTGAATTGACTGTTTTTAGGGTACATGCTGCCTTCCAACTCCTCTACGCTTGCTTCTTCCTTTACCCCCAAGCCTACTTCAGAAACATCTGACATTTGTCCTTCTATGACAAGGGCCACCCCCTCTAAAGATGGTGGACAGCCTCTCCATCTTCTTCCTAGATGATCCCACATGTCCTTGCATTTTAGATTACAACTTATTTCTTGTTGCTGCTCATGAATTCGGCCACTCCTTGGGGCTCTCGCATTCCTCTGATCCTGGCGCCTTGATGTATCCCAACTACGCTTTCAGGGAGCCCAGCACCTACTCCCTCCCTCAAGATGACATCAACGGCATTCAGGCCATCTATGGTAAGGCCGTCTGAAGAACAGTGCAGAATATGCTTACTTTGCATCTTGGTTCCATTCTGATGTTAAGTGCCTTAAAGAAAATGTTGGTGGCTAAGTGTGGTGATGTATTATTGTAATCTTAGTGTTCGGGAGAGTGAGAAAGAACAGTCCCGAGACCTGGGACTATTCTTTGTGACAGCAGAACTTCCAGGAGTGATTAGCCCTACACTAACTCTCTGTTCCTCGATACACACACACACACACACACGCACGCACACACGCGCACACACACACACACACACACACACACGCATGCACGCGCGCGCGCGCCCCTATCCTTTCTTTGCTTACCAGTGTTTTAAGTTCTCTTAGCTATTAATATCGCCCTTCATTCCACAGTGATACAAATTCTTACAGAAAAGATGCTGACCTACAGCTATAGCTCTGTACTGAAGTGTACAGGAGTGATATCAGATACTTGCTAGCGCATGACTACTGAGGGGGAGGAGGAAATAGATAATCAATGGCCACAAAAGTAGAAAGAGGAACTGAGAAAGGGGAGAATATTAGAGTTTAAAAAGGAAAGAATATGAAATTCAAATTTCTATACTTTCCAATGTAACTCATACAGAACCACTGTTACTTTTTTTTTCTGGTCTGAACTCAGGTCCTTTGCACATGGTAGGTGGGTGCTGTACCACCTGAGCCATGTCCTCAGACACGATCACTACTCTTATTAGACAAACTGAATGTTTAAGCAGTGCTCAGTGCCTTGCTTCCTCTCCACATGAAGGCCTTGAGGCCTAAAGGACTGTCTGAAGTGGACTTAGATTATGTTTCCACTCCCTCCTAGGTCCTTCACACGACCCCATCCAACCTACAGGACCCAGCACACCGAGAGCCTGCGACCCCCGGCTGACATTTAGTGCTGCCACCACACTCCGTGGAGAAATACTCTTCTTTACAGACAAGTATGGAACTGGACTGTGCCTTCCCCCAACTTCTTGCACTAGCATGCCTTAAAACAGTATACTACAGACGTCACTATTACCGCCCAACACATGGGCATCAGTATACGCTGCATAACTCAAAACACCCAGGGAAGGAAATGAAAAAACTAAAATATTTACAAGATATCTATGATGATGTCAATAGACCTGTTGACATCATCACAGACGAAGCTTGACTGCTTCAGAAATCAGTAATAAGTTTAACCCTAAAACATCCTCCTGGTCTGTTCAAATCAGTCAAGTTAGTGGACCCATCGCTTCACTAGCTCAGCTAGTGAATGTCCTCAATGTCCCCACAAACCTGTGCCGTTCACTGAGCTGGCTACTGCGTATCCTGTATTGCTCCTACTCCCAGAGCTGCCCAGGGCCACAGGCAGTGACTACAGAGTGTGTTCCTGGGCATGCAAATGTGCTTGTGAGTGTGTGAGTGTGTTTGTGGGTGTGCTTGTGAGTGCACAAGTGCATTCACGAGTGTGTGAGTGCCTCCTTATGTCCATCATCAGGTACTTCTGGAGACGACACCCTCAGCTGCGGCAAGTCGAGCTCAATTTCATTTCTCTGTTCTGGCCAGCCCTCCCAAGTGGCATTCAGGCTGCTTACGAGGATCTTGATAGAGACCTAGTGTTCCTGTTTAAAGGTAACTTCCTGAGGTTTTCTTCTTATTCTAGTCCTCCCTGAAGAGGTAGGCTGGGTCCTTCGTGGTCACTAACTACCATGTGAATTTGAGCAGGCTGCATGCTCTCCAGGACTCAGGGCCTCATCCATGAAATGAGAAGATGGCACTGGGTCATCTGTAGTATTCTCCATCCTCACATGAGGTGTAATTCTCTAAGATTCCTCAAGGTGATAACTTAGCTTTGGTGGAAAAGCTACAGGTGATAAGACATCAGCTGTGGATCCCTGAATGTCAGTTAAGAAGTGTGAACATGGATGAATGATGGGGCTGAACAGCCCCTGTGAACTTCTCTCATTTCATGTGTAACCTGAGCTTTTGGCAGGCAGGCAATACTGGGCTTTGAGTGGCTATGACATCCAGCAAGGTTACCCCAGGGACATCTCAAACTACGGCTTCCCACACACCATCCAGGCGATCGACGCCGCTGTTTCCTATGCAGGAAAGACATACTTCTTTGTGAATGACCAGTTCTGGAGGTAAGGTAATCTGCTTTGGGTTTTTTTTTTCCAAGTAGAAGTTGGAATCTGTGTTTCTCTGCCCTGTTTACAAGCCAGCAACAATCAGGCTTCTGAAGGTTAAAGAAAAAAATCTAGATGGTCTTTGATAGCTTTAGTAGGAATAATATCCTTCTTTCACAAAATGGTTGGAGTGGAACATAGAGTCTGAAATTTCCATTTCTATAAAATCATAATGCCTGAATAAAAGTATTGAGGACTCTATATCATAAAGCCATACACATCCTCACTCAGCACCAGGGCAGGACAAAAGAGAGACAGGGGAAGACCAGACTATGACTTGGAGTTAAATTCCAATATGCCTGATAAACTTCATCCAGAACACCTGCACATATTAATGTGTAGGATAAACTTAGCATTCACATTTATACACACACATACATATATATGCAGATGTGCTAAGTATCAACAAAATACAATCTGGAGGAGATGCAAGCTCTTGCTTTGGGAAATAACAGAACTTGTTCTTATAGTTAATGGCACTCATATATTTTATAAGTAAATATGTAGCCTTAGAAACAAGCCATTCCTAATCTCAGCAAATAGGACACTGGAAGAGTGGATGAGAGTGTACTTTATGACATACAATAAAAATAAAACTTGTGTTGATTTTAAGTCCTGTAATGGTTTGTCCTTACCAGATATGATAACCAAAGGCAATCCATGGAGCCAGGTTATCCTCAAGAGGTGTCCCGTGTCTTTCCAGGATTAGAAAGTAGAATTGATGCTGTTTTCCTGCAGGATTGTAAGTAGGAAGAAAACTATGATCAAATCTGTTTAAAGTTTGAAAATGACATGTTTTCCTTTGGATGTTATATTTGGGCAGGGGCTATGTTTATAGTTGAAGATGTTTGAGATCTTCTATACGCTAATTCAGTACATTATCTCTCTTTTTTAATAGATTTCTTCCTTTTCTTCAGTGGGCCAAGATATTATGCATTTAATCTTCTTGCTCGTAGAGTTACCAGAGTTGCAAGAAGCAATTTATGGCTAAATTGTAGATAAGGAAGCAAGATTGGAAATACTTCTGTCTATGTCCTTATTATGGACCTTACATATGCACACCCTGTCCTGCGGATGCTTCTCTCACTACTGGATAACAAATAAGGTTCTCTCCGCCGCCACATTCTCTGGGCCTGTTCTCAGCAAGAAGACGCTTAGAAGATTCCATTGTTGGCCCAGGCTTATTTTGTTCTTTGATATTCCATCTCAGTGTAGGGGTGCCATCTCACAGGGACGGAAGTGCGCCCCTCTTGTCCCCACAGAGCTCATGAATTCAGTACTTGTTGGTCTGACTTCTGTAACTCACTATCTCATTGCTTTCTTCTCTCACTTTGAATATTCTCGAGACTCTAAACATCTCTTACATTAAATATGCTGCATGAAGTTTAGCACTGAATTTGGGTTAGAGGTAAGGGTTATAAACCACATAGAGAATATACACGAGGCTCTTACAGAAATTGTGGTGTTATTTTTTTGCTCTTGGAAAGAAATAAAGAGAATTTAAGTTGTGGTTTGAATTGTGTCCCTTTCAAAAAGAATATTGAGGTCATAGCCATGGTACTGATGATTGTGAACTGACTTGGAACCAGAGTGTTCACAGCTGTAATCAATTGAGTTAACATGGTTTCAAGGTGGGCCCTTAATCGATATGGTTTTTGTTATTATAAGAAGAGGGAAAGGCTATGGAATGTATCTCAGTGCCAGAACATTGTCCTAGCATGCATGAGGTCCTGGATACAATCCCTAGTACTTCTCAGGAAGAAAAACAACATGAGAGAGAATGACTTGGCGACCACACAAGGAAGAAGACTGAAGACAGAGCCTAAGATTGGAATGATGCATCTACAAGCCAAGGAATCCCAGGACTGCCAACAACCACCCCAAGACTGGAAAAAGGCTAGGAAGGAACTTTTCCTATAACCTCCAGGCTATAGGCATAGGCACTTCTGAGTTTGGTCTTCCGTTCTTCACGACTGTGAGAGAATAAATGTGTATTGTTTTATGCCACCAAATGTGCTACTTTGTACACTAAGAGGAGGAACCATCAGTGCTGAAATAAAGCCTTGCTAAGGATTCCTGGGTATCTCCCAGGACAGCAGCAAAAAGAAGAGGTCCCATTTCCTCTCCTGCCTCCTTCAAAATAAGCCCTAAAGGCCAGGAATTATATGTTTACTTAGGGTCTGTAGTAGATTCTTAAGCTATAGTACAGATGTTTTATTCAGAATACAGTTCAAGGAAGAAATTTGGAAAGGTTTATGCATGAGTTGCTAATATTTGGGAAGAAAAAGAAGGAAATTTTAACACACGGTAGAGAAAAGGGTGAGAACACCACAAGTTGTGTTGCTTGGTCAGAAAGTGGCCCACATAAAGAAAAGAATACTGAAATCAATCCAAAAGACTGTCTCTAACCATACCTTTATTTCTAATATTAATTCTGCCCCCCCCCAGCCTTTGTAATCTGTGTCCTTTATGAGTTCTTCATCTGGCTAGTCAACTGTCTTCCTCATAAAACCCACCGTTCCATCCTCCATGGCTGTGTACTCATACGTTTGCCCTCATCAGAACAGATTTCCTACAGCTCATTTCTGCAGTTTCCTGCTTCCTTCTGCTCAAAGAGATGGTGAATGGGTAGATGGCCCCATTCAATAGTCTGAGGATACAGATAGAACAACTGTGGGGGTGGGGAGGAGGTCCCCTTGTACAGCCTCTCTGTCTGCCACTTCCCCCTCTCTTCCTACTTCCTAGCTGCTGTGGGGTGAGCAACTTTTCTCTACTACCTCTTTTCTTTTACCATGGCCTCAAGCAATGAAGCCAACATGATGGACCTTACCCTTTAAAACCAGGAGCCCAAAGCAATCCTTCCTCCCTGAAGTTGCTCTCTTGTATTTTGCCACAGCAACACACCACCTGGCAGCCTGAATTCACCAACCAGACTGCATTCACCATAACTGATGAATGTCTGAAAACTTCAGAAGAATTTATGAATAGGAAAATCTAACAACATTGCAGAGAGAAAACTAACATTTCCTAGAATGTTCAATTCAATAATAAACAATGTGGTTAGTCAACAATGACAGATTATGATTGTGAAATCAAGTCTATCTAAGGAAAAAAGCAACTTGTGACACACTTCATGGTGAGTTTCCTTTTCTGTTATTAATTAAATGTTAATGCAAACTGATTCATGCCACGTCTCACTATTTTCTAAATTCTGTACACACAGAAACAGGCTTTAACTGAAAGAGGAATGAAGAGCCATTGGCCTTTGTTTTTGCTTCTTATAACATTTTCTTCTGCGTTTCCTGCAGACTTGGAGGTGGAGAATGAGGGAGACAAGCAGCTGGCTCAGGTACTGTCTTAATAAATCTTGTTAGCAAATATTGATTTTCATTGTATTACCTTTCTCAGATCCTAAAAAGATGGCAAATTCCAGCAAGAGTCCCAGACTTTCTTGTGAGAAGGAATCACTTTCTGTTTGTCTAAAGACATTAGAGACTGTGGGAAAGTGGGGATACAAGTAAAACAGGGAACAGAATCTACTAAAACTTTTTTTTAAATGGTCACAAGTGTAACAGTATTTAGTGAGTGGAGGAAGAGTCATCCCTACAAAGAGTAGAGATCTCTGTAATCATAATTTAAGACATCCAGAAGGATCCAATGTACAATATGGACAGTGTGTGTGTGTGTGTGTGTGTGTGTGTGTGTGTGTGTGTGTGTGTGTGTGTTTGCACACTGCTTTGGAAATTCCTCTTAAAAGTCAGTGCAGTTAATTGGTAGTATTTGTTAAATAAAATAAATACGAAAAACAGATAATAAGCTATCTCTTCCAGAATTTGTCCTAAAAATTCTAAGTGTAAGGAATAGCAAAAGTATGTCAGATGTGTTGACATTAAATAGGTAGATGTTTCATTCTGTTCTGTGGAAGTTTGGAGTTTTAAGGGCTGTGTGATTTGGCTAATTCTGGTCACTCATAAATCAACTGATTCTTGAACCTGTAAGATCAGGATGACTCCTTTCTTTCCTCTTTCTGTTTTTCCTTTCTTCTTTCCCCTCACTATTCATTTCCTTCTTTCTCTCCCTATTGCCAAAATATGTATATATGTATATATGAATATGGACTTATATTTACATATATATCAGGCTATCTTATTTTATCCTGAGATGGAGATTCGCTCTCCTAGAGTCTGCGTTTCTTTTTGTCTTTTTGGTCAGGCATATCTCAACCAGTTCTACTCTCTTGAAATAGAAGGGAGTCATCTCATTCAAAGCAAGAATAGAAGCCTCCTAGATGGCAAAATTCGGGAAATGCAAGCATTTTTCGGATTGACAGTGACGGGGAAACTGGACTCAAACACTCTTGAAATCATGAAGGCGCCCAGGTGCGGGGTACCCGACGTGGGGCAGTATGGCTACACTCTGCCTGGGTGGCAAAAGCATCACCTCACATACAGGTAACGCTTCTACCAAAGGAGCAGAGTATCATCCCCAGGACATGAGAGTTTATGCCACTGACAGTCCCCGTGTATGCATGTGCAGTTGTGCGTGTGTGATTTCATAGATTTCCTACATTCTATCCTCACTACACACCTGTGAAGCAGGCTCTGATGGAGCTCCCCCCTTATGTGCAGAGAAACAAAATCAAAAGGTGATTTCCCATAGCCACGGTTACATGGGAGGCTGGCTTCAGTCCCTAGGCTCTGCTATTCCCTGTGGAAGCTCAGGCCCAGGAGCACCACCAGCGAGCAGGACAAGCCTGAAGGCAGGATGAAAATGTGCAGTGGGACTAGAAGAGCATGGGAATGCAGGCAGCTCAGGTTAGAACTGTCACATCTTTGGTAGGTCCAAGTATGGAAGATGGGGTTGGGTGTCTTGAGGAAAGGGAGGTTAAGTTTCTGCTAGAACGTAGATGACCTATGAAACCTGCTGGAAAACAAGAAACAGGAATGTTTACCACCACTGTGGAGACTTTTTTTCCCTGAGACTTAGGACTTGAGATCAAAATGGACTGGACTTATCTAGGAAGGAAACACAAGCAAGAGAAAAAAAAATCCGTAAATTCTTTGTGGCTCTTATGACTCAATTCAGGATACACGCACACCTTTGAGTATACAGCCACTTGAGAAAATAAAGCTCAGCTGTTTAAAAAGACATGTAATCTATTTACATACAGTCAGGATGTGTTCTTAAGAAAATTCTTCAACTGCTTTGAATCTGCTTTGTAAGAGCAGTAACACTGCCTGATTCACCAGGAAGATGAAAGACTTGACTTGCATACCACCTAATAAAGTGATGGCAAATGAAGTGATGTGCCAATGTCATGTTATATGAAAATTGCTTCAGTGAGGTGATCTGCAAATGTGAGATAATGGTGCAATACCAAATGTTATTGGAGTCCAGGACTGGTAAGGTACAAATTATTGCTTTTAGCATGTATGTGCACACATATATAGATTACCAGCCATTGCCATCTACATTCTCATTTTCTTTTCTTTTTTTCTCCTGGGGCTTGAACTTAGGGCCTGAGCAATGTCCCTGAGCTTCTTTTGCTCAAGACTAGCACTCTATCACTTGAGCCACAGTGCCACTTCCAGCCTTTTCTATTTATGAGGTACTGAGGAATCAAACCCAGGGCTTCATGCATGCTAGGCAAGCACTCTACCACAGAGTCACCTTCCCAGTCCCTCATCATTCTCTTTTTCAGAATAATGAACTACACTCCAGACATGGCACGTGCCGACGTGGATGAGGCCATCCACAAAGCTTTAGCAGTGTGGAGCAAAGTCACTCCACTGACATTCACCAAGGTCTCCAGGGGCATTGCAGACATCATGGTTGCCTTTAGGACCCGAGGTAGGGCTTCCAACAGAGAAACATGTGCTAATTTTCATCTCAGGAGGTTTTTGGAGGAGGCTGATCTTTGTCTTCGTGAATTGTGTCTCAGTCCATGGCTGGTGCCCTCGGTACTTCGACGGCCCCCTGGGAGTGCTTGGCCACGCCTTTCCTCCTGGTCTGGGGCTGGGTGGTGACACTCACTTTGATGAGGATGAGAAGTGGACAACCACCGATGAGGCAGGTGAGTCTAAGAGTCTTCATAAGAAATCTGTATTATTCCAAAGAATACCTGCCACAGGTAGCTTTGTAGCTAGTTGCCTTTTACCTCCAAATTTCTTAATTTCTCCAAGTTTTCTATATTTCAAGATGGCATTACTAGAAGTGTCGAATAGCTACTTGAACAACTGCATGGTCCACACAATATCTGTACAATGTCCTCACAAATTTGCTAGTCCTGGTGTGATGTCAGCTTTTTCCACTTATTCATGTGCTTACTCATAGGTCCACAATACCTGAGGGCCCACTTTGTGCCTATCACTAGGGCCTGTCTTCCCTTATCCCAGGAAAGTACAAGTTGTAGGTGTCTGGTGGGCAGGAGGCTTCATTAAACAGTCTTGACCAAATGACTGTGCAACACAAGTTAATGGCACACAAAAATCTGTTCTTCCATGTAT